TGGGGGGGGAGAGTGAGTGCGAGGGGAGGACAGAGACTGACAGACAAACTGAGGGGCATGACCAACGCAACTGAGTCCAACAACCGTTTCCTTTACCGCTCACGCCTTTACACACACGCGAACACACGCACACACACACGCGCACACACACACACACACACACACACACACACACACACACACACACACATGCCAGGGGGACGCCTTGCTGATCATGAGCGAGAGCGGTTTCGCGTGCGTGTGTCTGATGCGCCGCCACCGACATCGTACAGCCCGCACCCAGCGGTTGCTGACAGCATGTACAAGGTGGTGCTGACATAAATGCAGCGTGCCGTGAACCACCTGCGCAGAAACCCACTTGCACATGCTCGCACACCACAGGCACTCACACATCAACACACCAACACACTCGCACACCACATGCACTCACACATTAACTCTCACACACGCACCACTTGTTCTCACACCCTTGTCCGTCTGATCCACAACAAATTTCCAACAGCGGTCGTTCAATGCAACCATCGAGCACAATGCATAGCGCTCGGAGCAAGCGTCGAGTGTGTTTGGTTGGGGGCACATGTTTGGGGTGGGGTGTGTGCGGTTGGTATTGCTTGTGAGGTCTGCGGTCAGTGTGTTTGACGTGAAGTTGATAGTGACACGAGGCTTGTACTGGATTGGGATTGCTCGCAGTGTAATGTGATTGCTTGGCTTTGATTGGGCATTGCTGGTGGAACAATAAAGGGAGCTACATTGGAAGGGCACAACTGCACATTCATACGTTAAGGCATACACAGACACAGCTTCTATGACACACACACAGACACAGACACAGCTTCTATCACACACACACACACACGGCTTCTATCACACACACACACACACAGCTTCTATCACACACACACACACACACATACACAAACAAACTTCAGCGTCACACGAGGGTGTGTTGGTGTTGCGTGTGTGATAGCGGCGTTTGGGCGACGTGTTGTTGGATGCACTGCACCCCTTCCTCATCTCCTTCTGCTGCATCACTGCCCTGCTGCTTCTCTTGTTGTTGCTGGTCTCGCTGGTCGTTGCTTGCATGTGTTATTTCTCCCCTCTCGTCTCCGCTGCTCGGTGCATCACGCTGTGTCTCCTCATCACTACCGTCCCCGCCAGCATCACCACGATCATCCCCATCATCCCAAGCACCATCACCACGATCATCCCCACCGCCACCCTGGAACGTGGTTGGCGGCGGGTGGCGGTTGAACGACGACACCTTGAGAAACCGCTCCGGTGTCGGGTAGTGCGTATGTATCGCCTCCACCAGGCTGCAGTACGCGTCGTGATCGTACACGCACGCGCCGTTCATGTCCACGGGGAGCTGGCGGCGGTCAAAGTACTTGAGAATGCCGTCGTCGTCGCACACATCCCCCTTGACAATGTGGATGCGGCGCTGTAGCTTTCGCTTCAGGAACACCTTGACCAAGTTCAGGGCAACGCGCATGAAGAGGGGCGGGTTGATCAGATACACGGCGCCAAAGCGCAGCGGCAGGTTGTTGGACAGCGCTCCGAGCAGTGCGTGCGGCACGCGGATGTCCATGTTGCTGGTGGAGATGTTTCGCATGTCGATCATGAAGGCGAGTCCGCAGCGGTGGGCAAGCGGATACCGCAGGAAGGCGTACTCCACGGCCACGTGCACGCAGCGCACGGCGTCCTGTGGCGTCCACCGCGACGGGTCTGCCCTGGCCATGCGGATCATGAGCACGCGATGACCGATGCGGTCCAGAAAGCAGGGCGCCTCCACTACGCCGTGTCGCACAAGCGCCAGCAGTTGTTCGTCCGTGTGCAGCGGGCGCTGGTTGATTTCGTAGTCGTCCCGCCACGCGGCGTAGGCGTTCAGGCTGGCGGCGGCCCGCGGCACGTCATATCCTTTGACGCGCAGGCACACGCGCATCCAGAACTCGGAGAGGGGGTTCTCCGCCACATCGTCGCGCGCCCTCATCTGCTGTAGGCAATCGTCCTCCACCTCCAAGTCGATCTGCAGCTGCGCATGCTCGCCTTCTGCAACGCTCTCCGTCAACTGCATTGCACATGTGAGTTCGGAGAAGGTGGGTAGGAAGGAGAGGAGGGACAGAGGGGGGTGAGACGAGAGAGTGAGAGGAGCTTGGAGGGAGATGCAGAGGGGTGAGAACCGCGCACACAGTAATGAACACACATGAACACACGTACACAGGAACGAACGCGCACACGCGCGCACACACACACAGGAACGAACGCGCACACGCGCGCACACACACACAGGAATGAACGCACATGAACACGCGCACAGTAATGAACGCACATGCACACACATGCACACACATGCACACACACACACATGCACACACACACATGCACACACACATGCACACACACATGCACACACACCTCAAGGCCGGACGTGTCCACTGTTCGGAGAGCCCGCGCCAGCGATGATGATGAGGAGGATGAGGAGGATGATCCCAGCTGCGAACTCGAAGCCGAGCGCTGTGCGCCTTTCTTCTTTCGACTATTCTTTGTGCCTGTGGTCTTGTTGTTGGGCTCGCTGGCTGACCCTGACGTTGACGCTGGCGATGGCGTCAGTGCGGGCTGCGAGACAGCCCGTCGACCGAGCACCCTCCGGTCGCCACCACCATCACCATCACCACTGCTGTCCATTGTGCGTGCTTCTTGTGATGGTGGGCGGTGTTTGTTTTGTTGCTGTTGCAGCTGTCCTCTTTTTCCTGCCTCTTTCTCTCTTCTTCTTGCTTCTTGCTTTTTGCTTCTTGCTTCACTGACTGGCTGCAGCAACAGGCGGTGGTGGTGTCCGTCCATCTTCGGGATCGACGATGGCAGCGGAGACGTTCAGCGCGGTGCTTGACAGCGGATGGCGCTGGTGGATTGGCGCTGCCATCACAACAGCGGTGGTCTATCAGGTGGTGGAGCCCGCAGCAAGATTATGGGATTGGTGCCACTCCACGTCGATGCTGCACGCGCTGTCACCGACTGAGCTGTTCACGCAAGGGCTTGGCCTGCTGCCCACTTCAGCCAGCACCAACGGCACGCTGTGGGATGTGGCTGTCACGCCGTTCACGGAGGCAGCCAGCTTCTTCTTCACATCGCCGGCGCACACGCCGCGAGCCACGTACCTCTCCAAAGCCTTCTCCATCTCCCCCATCCACTTTGAGCCGGGCACCTTCATGCACGACATGTACTGGCTCGTGCTGCCAGCGTTCATCGTCGGCATCATCGGCCTCACCTCCATGCTCCTCAACAGCCCCATCGGTGCGATGCGTGCGTGCCTCATTGTGCTGTGATGCCTGTGCTGTGTGTTGCTTGCCCTGATATGGGTGGGTGCTCTTGCTTCGCCCTGATCTCGATGTCCCCAACTCGTGCATCGAGATGGTAATACACACACACATACACAAAGGGTCTCCCTGTCACACTCACAAATGCACACACACGCGTGCGCACACACGCACACGCACGCACACGCATGCACACACGCACGCACGCATGCACACACGCACGCACGCATGCACACACACACACACACACACACACACACACGCGTGCGCACACACGCACACGCACGCACACGCACACACGCACGCACACACACACGCATATTCAGGGCGCCCTGCGCTGCAATGGATCAACACGCACAAGCGAAAGACGGCTGGCGTGCTGCTGCAGGGCTTCTCGCTGATTTTGCTCAGCGACGCCATGGCGGACTTGCTGGCACCCCCCTCGTCTGCGCCAAGCCCCTTTCGAGGTGCAGTTGAAGCACGCCATCATCCGGCCTGTTGACTCGTGCCTTGAGCCGTTCACGTGCCTCTACTGTGTGCATACTTGTACCATCCCCCCCCCCCCATACACACACACCGACCACAACAACCAGTGTCTTTCATTTCATTCTCACTCCCTTGTGTGCTGTCTTTGGCTGCATTTATTGGCCTGCAGTGGTGCTGCTGCTGTCGCTGTCCACTGTGCTGACGGGCGCCAGCTTGTCCCTGCTATCAAATACGGTCTTGTATTTGTCCATCCCCGCAACCTCGCTGATCCTTGCCAAGCTGTGGGCCACCTTTGCAGGCTATTGCAGCCACGCGCTTGCCAACAGTGCTGTGGCCGCAGACACTGCTGAAGCGACCACAGCAGCCGTCACCCACGTTGCTGCCGCGTTTCCGTTTCGGCTGCTCAGCTTTGCGCTGGCGCTGCTGGCGTTCTCTGTGCAAGGCGCCGCCCGCCAGTGGTGGAGTTTGGAATGGCAGAAGCACGTGGGTCCGGGCATGGTTCGCGTCATCGCCGGCCTTCACCTCGCGTGCACCTGCATCGTCGGTGCATCCCTGGTGCGTCTTGCGTACTTGTGCGTGCGTGTGTGTGTGTGTGTGTGTGTGTGTGTGTGTGTGTGTGTGTGTGTGTGTGTGTGTGTGTGTTTCTGTGTGTGTGTGTGTCTGTCTGTGTGTGTTTCGACGTGTGTGTATGTGTGTGTGTGTGTCTGTGTCTGTCTGTCTGTCTGTGTGTGTTTCGACGTGTGTGTGTGTGTGTGTTGGAAGGAAGTGGCATTCACGCTGTCTTTCGTCCTTCTGCGTCTGGTGTGTCGTGTGCATGTTGCATTTACAACTGACTCTTGCCCACTCACCCACCAATGCAGGACGTGAACCAACGTGGGTTTCTGTTGCACGTGCTCCCCATCATCACTGTGTCGCTGCTTGAGTTTACGCGACTGCACCGCCACCCGTTGATTATCGAGCTGGCAGACAGCGTCGCCGCCCTCCTCTTCATGGTCAGTCATTTGCTGATGCGTGTGTGTGTGTGTGTGTGTGTGTGTGTGTGTGTGTGTGTGCGTGTTTTTACTTATGTTTACTTGTGTTGTTAACTTGTGTTTTTACTTGTGTTTACTTGTGTATCTTGTGCCCGTGATGCCCCACGTCATGCCCATTGTGCGCCGCGCATTTGCCCCTTTGCGTGCTTATTCCATTATGGAGTGCCCACTTCTCACCCTCATCTCACTCCACTCCCTTGTATTTAGGTCACCGTGAACGGGTCGCTGTTGTATGCGTGTCACGCCAGCATCCGCTGGGGGTTCACCTTCCTCGATGCGCCCCTCCTCTCGCTCCGTTTCTGGCTCGTCGACATCTGGATGTTCCTCATCATCATGGCCTGTGCCGTCCTTTCCGCCGTTGCCGCGTGGTTTGTTGTCATCAACACACAGCGCTATGCGCCCCGCGCCCTGCGCTATGTGTGGCTCCCCTTCCACTTTACCGTCCGCTCCATCGTGCCTGCAGGCAAGATGGCAGTGCGCGTCACCGCGTTTTGCCTTTTGGAGTGGGCCGGCACGGCGCTCGTGGATAAACGCGCGGCCGATGACGCCACCATCGTGGGCGTGGCTGTTGCGTTGGCCATCACCGTCGCCGTTGCCACGGGCATCTCCGTCGGCACCGTCCTCACCATGCGCAGATTTCGCCGTGAGTGGTCATGTTTTGGGTGCGTGTGAGTGAGCGAGTGTGCGTGTGTGTGCGTGTGTGTGTGTGTGTGTGTGTGTGTGTGTGTGTGTGTGTGTGTGTGTGTGTGTGTGTGTGTGTGTGTGTGTGTGTGTGTGTGTTTGCGTCTGTATCTGTGTGTGTCTCTGCTGCCTATTTGTGTGTCTCCACGCGCGCATGTGTGCATACGCGTGCTGCCCTCGCTCTGCTTTCCCCTTGCCCACGCCCCTTGCCCACGCCCCTTGCTCACTTCTCCAACTCCTCCCCCCCCCAACACCCAACCTCCACATCCAACCTCACATACACACCCAGAGCTGGAGTCGACGTGCCTTTGGATGGGTGCTGGTGCTGGCCTGATCCACAGCAGTGTGCGCGTGCTCATGGCCCATCCCACCTTCGACACCCTCCCGCTTGTCTACACCAACTTTGTCCTCGCCTTCTTCTGCTACGACGCCACGGTCAGCTGGCCGGTTGGCAGACGCATCAAGCGCGCCCTTGCCCCTGCCGGCCGCGCGCTCAAGCGAGCCGCCGTTGCTGGTGCCGACATCACCGCACGCGTCGCAACACGCGTTGGCCGTGTGGTGGCGAGGGTGCTGCGCGCAGTGACGAGGGTTGTGGTCACCGTCGCTCGCAAGGTGGCCAACGTGTTGACAGCGGTTGCGCGGGCGGTGGGCAAGGTGGTGAGGGCGCTTGTCCACGAGCTGGTGCGGGCACTCAAGGTGGTTGTGCGGGTTGTGGTGCGCGCAGTTGTGCAGGTGGCAATGAAGCTGCGATCGGCTGTGCGAGGTGCAACACCGCTGCTGCAGTTCCTGGCCAGCGCAGCGGTGACCGTCCTGTTTTTCCGCCCGCTCTTCGCTGCCCGCGACCTGCAGCTCTCCGACGCTGCCTTCCTCCTCTCCGGGTGGGCAAGCACGTGCTGCACCGTGATTATGGCGGGCACGGCGCTGAGGAGCAGGCGTGTGCACGCGTTTGGCATGACGCTGTTTGACTACGTTGACTTTGGGCTGACGACCCTCGCCATCCATGCTGCTGTCGCTGCCCTGTTCAACCTCAACCGGCTGCTGCGCTTCGTGTTTGGCGCCGTTCACCGCGTGTGGGTGATGCTCGTTGGTGTCGTCTTCAACATCTGGGTCAGCGTCACCACCACCCTCCGCGCCGTCGCTCGTGCTGGGGCGCGGCAGTTTTCGCTCATCTGGCGCAATCCGCTCGTGGCCATGCTCTCGGCCGCTGTTGTCATCGCCGGTGCATACCAGGTACGCTTGTTTGTTTGTTTGGTTGGTTGGTTGTTTGTATGTTTGTATGCTTGGTTGTTTGTATGGATGTTTGTTTGTTTGTTTGGTTGGTTGGTTGGTTGGTTGGTTGGTTGGTTGGTTTGGTTGGTTGGTTGGTTGGTTGGTTGTGTGCTCGCTCCTTATGTTGTTTGTTTGTTTGTTTGGTTGGTGTGTGATGTGTGTGTGTGTTTCTTGGTTTGTTTTCTGTACTCGCTTGCCTGATCGGGTGTACATGAAGCTGTTACCGTTGTTGTGGCAATGTTCACGGCCATTCTCACGAAACACAACACACGCGCGCAATACACGCACACACGCAACGCATGCCACATACGCTTGCACATGTGCAGGTTCACAAGTTGGGGTTGAAACCACAAATGGCAACGGACACGTTGTGGCATATGGCGGAGGTGGCGTGGGCCGGCATTGCTGCCACACGTGTGTACATTGTGGATGCATACGCCTCTCTGCAACCGTTGCTGTCCCGCACCCTACGCGAGCTGTCAGCGTGGCGCCAGATCATGGTTGGCTCGGCAAGTTCAGCAGACCTGTTCCGTATGGCGTCGTTTGCGTGGGTGTTCTACATTGGCTGCTCGGCCGTCTCCGTCACGCGCCTGCACCGCCGCATGCGCCGCAAGACCATTGCTGTCCCCATCATGGTGCTATACACGACTGCGTACCTGGCCCCTGCCTTCTTCAACCTCGTGCTGGTGGTCCTCGTGGCGTGGGTGGTGGGCTCCATCGTCGTCTGGGAGCACGACCTGGCAGAGCGACGGCAGGCCCACAACCAGTGGCTGGAGATGCAGCGAGAGCGCAATGCACAGGGCGCTGCTGCTGGCGCTGGCGCGGGCGCGTTTGAGCAGCAGCGACGACAGCAGCGGCAGCCGCGCTTTGAGATGCCGGAAACAGACGCATCCGAGTACACGGAGCAGGTGTTTGAGGCGACAGAATGCATCATCTGCCAGGAGGAGTTCACTGCGGAGGTGACGGGCTACACGCTGCCGTGCGGACACCGCGCGTTTCATCGCGAATGCATCACAGACTGGTTCAACGCCAGCAACAACACGCGCTGCCCAATCTGCCGCGCACCCGCCGACCAGACGACACAGTGGCTGCAAACCGTCTTCTAAGTCTAAGTGTGCGTGTGTGTGTGTGTTGGAGAGAGAGAGAGTGTGTGTGAGTGAGAGAGAGTGAGAGAGAGAGAGAGAGACGGAAGAGACGGAAGAAGCATGGTGTGTGGGACGCGCAGTTAAAATTAGAAACGTACAGAGGGCATGCGCTCTTCTCCTTGCTCTTGTTCATACAGTCGTGCTTTGGATGCGCCAGTTGTTCATGGAATGGGTTCATTGGGTTTATGTGAAATGAAAAAGTTGAATTGAAGGGGGAAAAGGGATGGACGGAGCACGGTAAGAAGTCGCATCACACGCCTTGTGCAAGTGGGAAAACGGAGGGAAGCTTGAGGGGAAAATCCAAGACACGACACAACGCTCCAACAGAACATGCACACACGCACCAGAGTCAAACAAACAACAAGGCTGGAGACGACACAGATGGGAGTCACGACCACCGCCAACACCGCCACCAAGAACAACAACAAACATGATGGTGCAAAGGTGGGCGCCTGAGCACTTGGACAAACATAAGGCCCACAACCCCAAGGAAAACAAAGCTGCACTTTGAGCACTACCAGCGACAAATGACCTTCTTCTTTGTGCGTCGTGGCTGGTTGGTGTCGTTTGACTGGTCTTCCGCGGCGGCCTTGCTTTGTTTCTTTTTCTGGTTCTTGTTCTTCTTCTCTGCCTTCTTCTTGGCGTTCTTTCTTGGCTCAGCTTGTGCTTTCGCTTTCCCACGGCGTACCACTTCCACCTGCACCCATTCTTGTGCATCCGCCTCCGTCTTAACACTCTCCCGCTTCTCTTTCTGTGCATCGACCGCAGATGGCCTTGGCTGCGCTGCCTGTTGCTTCTCCGAGCACTCTTCACGTTTCTTCGCCATTTCCTCCCGACGCTGTTGCTTCAGTTCTGCATTTTGCCTCTCGATCATCTTCCGAACCGCGTTAGCTCGCTTCTTTTCCTTATGTTGCCATCCCTCAGCCTGCCTTCGTTCCACATCTTCGATGCTCTTAACCGCTAAATCATCAGCAAATACGAGGACGGCGGTCAGGTGATGTGAAATGAAGTCAAGCACACGTTTCTTGCTCTTCACAGCAAGCTGACCGACTGCTGTGTTTCGCTTTCTGGGACCTTCAAGATACTTTGCCGCCCATGTGTCTGTCTGTCCACGCCCCCACTCCTCTCGGAGCGCAATCTTATCCAGCCGGCGGTGGGGGGTCTTGCTCGCGTGCGAGAACACCCAGTCAAATTCGTCCAAAGAGTGTGCGAGCCATCTCGTCACTCGCTCAAGCTGCCGCTTCAGGTCATCACGGCCGCCAGAACCAAACTGCTCCAATTCATCTTTGGTGATGTCGCAACTGTGCGTCAGGCGTGAACGATATGGGTTTGCACCACCATCCTCATCATCGTCGTCGTCGACATCATCATCGTCGTCGTCATCACCATCGTCGTCGCCGCTGTCCTCGCCACGCACAATTGAAATCCTTGTCCTCATGCGCCATACTTCATTGGCCATCTGCCGCACATGATCACGCAGGGCATCCACATCATCGTCACTATCAGCAAGATTCTGTAAAATGCTTTCGGCGTTGTGGGATGCAAAGAGACAGCACTTTGACTGCTGCTTGTTGTCCACAATCAAGAAGTTGAACTGCCTGAGCTCATCCTCTGGAATATCAAACACCAGCACGGCAGGGGACCGCTCCAGCAAACCAACCCCCTTTCCGCTTTGAGCACGTGCTTCGGCCTGCTGGGCTGCGCACGAAAACTGCTCATGCAAGTAGAAGCTGGGAGATAAGCCGAGGTCATGCGCGTGTGCAGTCGTGCCCTTGCTGACCGTGCCGTGCTGCAGGATCTGCAGCGCTTGGAATCCCGCGCACCCATGGTACCACCGCGTCATGCCTGCAGGTGGCGTTGCCTTGCCTGCTGTTAACAGCACCTTGTTTCCCGTGCGACTATGTGGCAGCCTGCGATGAGATAAGGCCACAACCACCTCGCGCTCTTGTTTCAGCTGCGTTCCAAGAGTCAAAGACAGCTCCTGCTGCGTGCGCGTGTCCACTGCCGTCTTCAGCTTCTCATACACCCCGGGGTTCTGGCAGTCCGCTGTTGGAGTGTTGAAAGGCACACTAGCAGAAACACTCACGAACTCTTGCAGCCAGCTACGCGCTTCCTCCAGGGTTGGGTATGATACAGCAGCCATTCCACCCAACAATGCATCCTCATCTTTCTGCCACTTCTGCAACCACTGCCAGAACCGGCGCCGAAGAGCCCAGCCCATGGCGCCTCTGGTGTGCATCACAATCTCCATGGTGGGAATGTGAGTCTCCGCCAACTGCTGCACATAAACCAGCAGCTCAGCAACAACAAACTCTACTGTTGCTGCTTCTTTCTCCAATGGCAGATGAGCGTGGACGCCGTCGCGAAGGAGGCGCTGCACGTGCATCGGCTCCAGGCCACACTGGCACAGGCGGTGCAGGAGAGTACTCGGAACAGTGCCATCGCTCGGCTCACCCAGCCAGTACATGCCTGTCCAAGCATCCAGCGACTCCTGAGTGACACTGACAGCGGCAAAGACGCGTGCTGCAAAGGTGTCGGCATCAGGGATCAGACTCATGGGCCAGAGTGCATTCCTGTTGCGCCGAATATCGTAGTGCTGTCGTCTGTCATCAGCCAAAGGTTTGAACACGCGATTGCTTAGGGCGCTGATGAGGCAGCAGAGGCTGTACCGCACGTGTTCCTGTTGAGACGCATGTGCACGTTCAGATGGGTTGTCTGCCAACTGCCGGCTCACCCACTCGATTGATACTGTAGCGATTGCTGCCACCCTCAGCAGGTCGCGGGTCTTGGAGCAGTGCTGTGTCACAGAGCAGATTGACTCAGTGATGGTGTCAACCCATGTGTGACTGTCCATATCAAAAACACAGTTGATCAGAGCGTGCAGGAGGGCGATTGTACAACCAACTTTAGCAGATTCGCAGGGGTCGGAAATTGCCTGCGCGAGCACCCGTGGAGCATCATGCTGCAACACATGCTGCTGAATGCGCGGCATTCGAAACACGAGGTGCTTGAGGCACACGGCGGCAGCATGGACAAGCCGCTCATTGCGACTGGCCACACAAGCAAGGATCCCCGGAATGAGTGGCTCGCTGATTGTGGCCAGGTGATCAGCTTCGTCTGGGCTCCAGTCGGCGAACAGCGCTGACAGAAACCGCACGCACCGCTCCTGTCGTGCCGGCTTTTCGTCATGCCATAGACACGGCTCGATCACACTCAAGACCTCGCGCGTGCCCACGATGCATTTCAGTGCCATGTCAACGTCGTTGCTGCACCGTGTCGTTTCAAGCAGCTCAGCCATTGTGGGCCCATGCAAAGAGTCGTCCGACTTTGGGTCAATGAGGAGTAGGGTCAGCACCTCCAGCAGGCAAGCAAAGAGCATCGGCTGAACATGAGATTTGTTGAGCTTGAAAGGGCGGGTGATGGCGTTGAGGTGGGCGTCATTCGTGCCTGGCTCGATGTCCTGCGCCAATTCCAGGAAACTTGGAAGCACGGCTTGAACAATTTCACGCGCCAGCTCTTCTTGTTTGCCTCGCAAAAGGCGTTTGTAAGGTTGCGCGAAGGAGAGCCGTAGTAGCTGAGCCGCGAAGAGAAGAAGTACGGCAGAATCCTTCAGTGTTTCTCCACTCCAGTTGACCCGAAATAATCCCAGCGCAGACTGAATAATACCTTCGATGGCGGGAACGTCAGTGAGGTCACTGATGCCATACTTGCGAAGGCTGCTCTCTGTGCTCGTCACGATCGACAATGCAAATTCGAACGTGACAGTTGCTGCATCCAAGAAGGTGATCGCGTCTCTTTGGCGCAACTTTGGATCTGTCCCATGTGCAAGCAAAGCCTCTGCCTGTTTCAAGAGAACAGTGGCGTCTGCTGGCACGAACGGTGGCCATGACTTGTGTGCTTTGTGGGCCTTGTCATACTCTCGCACATCAGTCAGCCACTGACAAACCTGCTCCACATCCATTGGTAAAGTTTCGCCCTCGCCAGTCACGTCGAGCGTGCAAACGCTGGTGTGCCTTTGTGTCTTCTTCGTCGTCATCATCAATGGCTTGGCAGTTGTTGTTGTTGTTGTTGTTGTTGTTGTTGTTGTTGTTGTTGTTGTTGTTGTTGTTGTTTGTTGTTGTTGTTGTTGTTGTTGTTGTTGTTG